AGTGATGGAAAAGACGATCGTGCTGCTAAAGCAGCCCTACTGCTACTACCTGTTGATTTTAAACTTCATTTTACTGATTTTAAACCACTTCGATTAATGGCATCCTAGCAACAATGAGACGAGGTTATCCTTGCCTGTCTCCAGGTAGATAAATCATACATCACCCATCGGTAATTATTTAAACGTGAACACCAGCCTCAATGTATAGCATGTCAATTACCTTTTACAGTAAGAAACCTGTTACAAGATTGTGTTGACCTTCAGTCAACTCGAGAAAAAAAATCCTATTTTGACATTACGTGTCTTAAACCTCTGTTTGAAAAAATAACTTTTCAACTGTCCGTACGCTGTTGGTCATTTAAAAAAAGTATGAGTCACTATAGCCGCTTTCAATATTCGAACTGGCGTCTGTTTTTTACCTTAATTTACGTTTGTTTGACGTCATTTCGCATTTGTTTGATGGCCCTAAAGACCTCTCTTGTGTCGATTGGCCGTTAAACATGTAAAAATAATAATAATTACCTCCAACAGTCGTACAAGGGAAAGGTGTTGGTAGTGTTGTAAGTGACATCATACACCTATATAACTGATTAGATCAAAACCAAACCAATTCAAAATGTTAACCATTGAAAACCTATAGCGGTAGCCTTAGATACGCAGTTGCCCAAAAGGATTGAATGCACTTCTAAGCCGGCCAGTCAATACGTCAGAATCCGACTAGCAATTTCCAAGAAATGTGTCGGATAAAATGGCGCCGAAAGACAGAAGGACAATAATAATATTTTTGTATTTTAAAACGGAAGTTAAAAAGGAAGTCACCAAAGGCGTTTGGAGACTTAGTTATTCTTTGTCGGCTCAGTGCGATTCCATCATTCCAGATCAAACTTTTAAATCATGTAGTCATATTGATCAAACTACTAGATGTCTATCGCGTTCTATTTGCATTACCCTCAGTACAAAGGTCAAGATTACAAAACATGACTGTTAACTAATTTAACTTGAATAAATATTCTCGAGTTAACGCAAATAGTAACCCCACACAATATGGTATGCTAACGATTGTCATCGCTTTTCTAACCCTCTACATTTTAATATGAACGTTGTTTGAATGGACGTGTAATCAGCTGATACTATTATTAGCACGTATACATATAACTAGTCCGAATTATTCTGACGTTTTATCGACTTTTTTCATATCGGTCTGTCGTCGATTAACGTCAGAACTCCGGCCCTCTATAATATGCGGGAAATATGCGACCCGCGCCCGGAGCGCACTTCAAACTGATATTTTAGAAACAAATCGTCACTTTCACACACATGTTGCACATGGATCGAAAGATCTATTCTTTATGCACAAGATGAACATACATAACATGCCTCAAACAACCAATACAATCACTAAAAACATATTTTTTCAAACTTACACTGTTTTACTCGAGGTTTTTGATAGCCCCGCCTTCTAATGCCACGTGACTAAAAACTCGCCGGCCTACGTCATAACGCTGGGAAATACCTTCGGTAACGCGAGATCTCGTCAAGTCATGTGACATTGCTCATGGCCTAATTTCCATTAAAATCATGGGTTGGTATAGAAAACGTTGGAAAATACTTTTCGTAATGATATTTGAAACATGTTATTGATACCACCTTGTGCATAAAGAATAGATATTTCGATCCATGTGCGACATGTGTGTGAAAGTGACGATTTGTGTCTAAAATATCAGTTTGAAGTGCGCTCCGGGCGCAGGTCGCATATTTCCATCATATTATAGAGGGCCAGAGTTCTGACGTTAATCGACGACAGACCGATATGAAAAAAGTTAATAAAACGTCAGAATAATTCGGACTAACATATAACATGAACTCGGTTTTATAATTAGACCAGATATAATAGTCTCGGAGAAATGTATAACTGAATATCGATTGTTCTGCTGAATATTGTATTCAAACCATTTCATAACAGCAGAAATATTGACTTATTTCAGATAGTAATATGGCCAAGGTGCATGCAGAAGATCCCACAGGAAACGTAAGTTGTCCTTCTGCACGGGCAAAACTTGCCGATAAGCTGATTAAGGCGTCTCTCGGCTTGTCCGTTGTCAAATGGCATCAACACACTTCTGGTCTAGAGCGACTTTAGAAATGTTTTTGTTAACTTGATCCTGTAAATCGTATTTTAGGATACATTTACATACATGAGAATTTAGCCAGCTTTTGACCGAGTGCAGGAGCATGTTAAGGGGGTAGATTTGGGGGTTACATCTTTATTAAAAGAACTCCATCAGTATCGGTGAAGGCATTATTACCCGGTTAGGTAGGAAGCTTTATTTATTTGTTTAGTGTCTTCCACCCTTGTCTTACCTGAGACTGAGACCATTCCGACGCCAAACAGATTCAATATATATAGATGAAGGGTGTGACCCTTCCCTTTGAAGGACACATGAGTATTTTTTTTTATATATTTCTATCAGGTAATTTGTAACTATCGATAAAGTTTAAAATATCTTGAAAAACTGTACTTGTGTTCCCTTGTACAAATGCTTAAATACTAGCTCTATCGTGTGGGAGGCTTTGTATTCAAGCATCATGTTGTGGAAAAAGTAGTTATGCATTGTATGAGGATAACAGCTGTTTTTACAATCTTTATGTCTTCAATACTTACAGATTGAAGGCATCCATTACACACATTGGCAGGCGTCCTAAAATGACATTATCTGTTATTGTGACGGTAAACATTTAAAACCAAATCAAATAAGTCCAATTATTTTGGTAGACATTAACATAACTTGTCAACGCAGACAGCAAAAGTCTAGTCTGATGACGTTTAATAAACAAGAGGCCCATGGGCCTTAACGGTCACCTGATACATTTATACAGAGAGTTGATTTTGTTTTTAACACGAAAAGAAATATTATTCAAAGTGACAAAAAACAATAAAACCACCTTATTCAATATCTAGCATACAGATTTAAGACTAAAAAGTATTTGAAACTAGTACCTCTGAATCTAAACAAGGAAAATGAAGAAATTTTAGCACACTGACTCCTTTGGGCCCCACCCTACAACCCTTTAGGGTAGGGCTGGCTCAAAATTTTCAAAGCATCAAACTGTCAACTCAGAGTTATAATTCCAATCAAGTTATTAACATGTAATATTCAAAGTATCATTTGCCATTATAAACTCTAATAAATCCCCCCTCCTTCCCCAGGGGGTAAACGTGAGACACTAGGGTCATAAACCTTAAGACCCTTCCATATATGAAGAGTGTTTGATTCTACCATATCGGGGTCTTTGAGAAGAAGATTTTTGAAATTTCAGTCAATTCAACCCTTTTTGGTCCCACCCATGAGCCCCGGGGGTCAGTCAGGGCTCATATGTGCATACTATCAAACTGCTATCCAATACTGATAATGCTAACCAAAATTGAATTACTTCCAATGGAAATTAAACAAATGTTGGTCCAAAATGTGATTTCCTTATATAAACTATAGTAAAGTTTATCCCCTCCCCAGGGGTAAACGTGAGACCCCAGGGTCATAAAATGTACAATTTTAGTAAAGCACCTTAAGACCCTTCCATCTATGAAGAGTATTTGATTCTACCATATCTGGGTCTTGTGAAGAAGAATTTTGAAATTTTAGTCAATTTAACCCTTTTTGGCCCCGCCCCTCAGGCCCCTTGGGGCTGGGGACCAAACTGGCCACCATTTTTGTTGAATTTTGTCCATGGAAGGTTTCTGCAAAATTTCATTGACATTGGTTCAGGGGTTTTGGAGAAGAAGTCGAAAATGTAAATTGTTTACGGACGCACGACGGACGACGCAAGACAAAAGGCGATCGCAATAGGTCACTTGAGACTTTGTCTCAGGTGACCTAAAACATATAATATCAAAGGGAACGCGCCAAAGCAGTCATTTACAGTGAAACCAACAAATAATGTCACTCGTTTCATATACCACCTATATGATTGGCATCATTTTAATATTTCACCCTTCATTTTCTTTATCTCATGCAAATTTATTGCACACATGGAGGCACCCCCTTAGTAAGGTCGCACATGTTGAATGCGGCAGATTTATTTTGGTCACTTGGGTGTCCCCAAATAAAGGATAAAAAAGCAAATACATAATTCAGGATGGGGCTTCCCCATTAGTTGCCTCTTAAACCATACTTGGTTTGGTTTGGTTTATTATTGTTTAACGTCCTATCAACAGCTATGGTCATTCAAGGACGGCCTCCCCTGTGTGCAAGATGCATGCGTGTAGTGTATGCGTGTAGTGTATGCGTGTGTGTTTTTGAAGGCTGCGATATGTTCCTGTTCGTCTTCTTGTGATAGCGCGGAACTGTTGCCGACTTTATAGTGCTATCTCACTGAATCATACTGCCGAAGACACCCACCCGGTCACATTATACTGACAACGGGCGAACCAGTCGTCCCACTCCTAAATTGCTGAGCGTTAAGCAGGAGTAGAAACTACCAATTGTATAAGCTATGGTATATCTCGGCCAGGGAACATAACCCAAAGCCCTGAACACAGGGGCGAACGCTCAACTAAAGGCCAAGAGTGAGGCATTGTCAAGGGAGACATTAGGAAGAAGAAAGTTGTTTAGAAAGAAGAGGAAAGATAAGATCCCAAATTTAGTCGCCTCTTACGATCATGCAATGCGGGCAGCAGGTACAATTCTTACGCCCTACCTGCAGGGACCTCTTATAACCATACAGTTGGTAAAAGCAGGTATATTCTGTTCTGAATCTTTGGCCTACAGTGGTGGGTTATCAATTATTTTATTCATTTAATAGTTAAAATACGCCGTGTATAACACATTTTGAACAATTTTTCCGCATAGTTTCAGAACCGTAACTGAATGGGAATTTATTCCGAAAAAAACCCCGGATCATTAGTTGAATTAGCTTACATTTTGCAAGCAATGTCAACATCAGAATTAAAACATTTCCTTAACTATGTTATATATTCCGATGTATACTTTACATTGATAAATATGACGGTGGTAAAAAATGAATACAGCAGAGAAATTTTTCATTTGATCCCAGACTAGTTACTCGTATATGCATAAGTTTCAGCTAATTGTTTTATTGTTCAATTGCTATATGTTGATACGTTTCCGGATGAGTCATTCATACATTACCCTTTGTTATTTATTAAAACGTGAAGTCCAGCCTCAATGCATAGCGTGTCAGGAACCATTTCAATAAAGCACTTGCTATTAGATTGTCAACTCGAGAAAATTTCTATAACAACATGTCATATCTCAAATCTCTTTTCGAAAACATAACTGTTGGTCTTTTTAATAATATTTGAGTCACCATAGCCACTTTCAGTATTCAAATTGACGTTTATCTTTTTACCTTTAAGTTTAGTTTGATGTATTTATTTAGCATTTGTTGTTGTCGAGCATTTGTTGGCCCTAATAACTTATCCTGTGTTGATGGGCCGTTAAGCATTGATTATAATAATAATGATACACATCATCTTTCAGGATATTGAAATGGAGAAAGCAGACACAAAGATAGAGAATTATGAAACCGATGTAAGTAATTACTGAATAATTCACCGTCGATAATTTCCACGATTTCATATTCTTCGTAAAAAATTGTGGAAATGGTTTGTTCACCTGGGCAAGCACTCAGCATTCAAGGCCAGAAGTGAGGTGTTACCAAGCAATGCGCTAGGAAATAAAAGGTATTAAGAAGTAGAAAGAAAGATAAAGATCCAAAATATTGCAATGGGCACAGCAGATTTAATTTGGTCGCTTTTGTGTCCCCCAATAGAGGACACCATAGCAAATCCCCAATACTTCAGGGGGGTTCTGCACATTAGTCGTCTCCTACGATACATGCAGTGGGTAACAGCAAGTGTATTTTTTCCCGATCCCCAACCTGTAGGGGTGTCATGACCAGTTGAATAATTTTCAAGTATATCAAAAATATATGAGTTTAATGTATATATTTGTTAGATCAATTGATTTCTCACCCGAAAGATAGATAAGTGGACTTTTGTGAAATGTATATGTCAAACGTGTAGCATTATAAAAAAACCCAATGAAGACCAAACGTCATTGCTCGTCTGCAGAATAGGGTCATCATATGTACCCTCAACACAATACTTGAAACATCATCTATTCTGCTTTTTTTATTATCATTATTTTACTGTACACTGGACGCTCACGAAAAGAATACTAAAACTTGAATTAAAAAATGAATAATTGTTAAGAATGCAAAAAAAAAATCAGATATCAAAAGCAAATGAATTGAGTTTAGTATATTATAATTGCAAGCTATAAACATGACGTATATTCAACTCGGATATCCTAGATAGTTCATTGTAATGTTCTACGCTAATACTTGTAAGTTTGAAAGGATTACACACATCTTTACCAGCACATAGTATGGACATTAAATAGATGCTTTTTCACTCTTTTCATTATGTATTTGAGTCTGGATGTACATTTATTTATACCATTTGTGTTAGATTCCCTCAGACGATGTTGCAAAAGATGAAGAAAAAGAAAAGTTTCAAGCAGTTCTCAAAGAATTGGCAATGGGCACTACAATTCATGGCATAGCAAATATTGTGAGTGCTAAAAAGACCTACAAAAAGATTCTGTGGCTGAGTCTGTGGTTGTTGATATTGGTGGGATACTGTTTTCAATTATCCCAGATTTATACAACATTTACAACTGCACAAAAAACAACAACAATGGATTTGAAATTTGGAGTTCAGAAATTCCCAGGAATAACATTTTGTAACCTAAACCCAATAACGAAATCGTCCTTGAGAGAAACATCACCCGACATGCAGCTGATTTTGACTTTGTCAGAGGCTCAGGTAGGGTGTTTTACTAGTACATTTCGTCATTTAGGGGGAAAATGTTGATAGAGTGAGATTATATTTTGCTTGACATAAAACTTAATGTTGTAACATTTTGTATTGTTATGTTTTCTTTTTGCAAATCGTCTATAGTGATGGATGACATTTTCACACTTTTACTTGAAATATTCAGTACTCAAAAATATTTCACATGACTAAGAGGATTGGTAGTTTTAAAAATAGTTATAAAATAAATGAAAAATCAGATTTTAAAAAATGCATAGAAATAACAGACCAACATTAACATACATGTACCAATACCTATTGACTGGTTGCTTCATTCTACGTCTAGATGAGATATTTTTGGCAGTCTATGGATATTGAAATCGACAGAAATCACCCTGGCTTCAAGTTTCTCGATAACTTTGAGAAACATGGGTTTAACACAGATGGATGGGACGTGCTAAGTTATATTCCGACAGATCCCATGCAAACGAGAAACCTATTTATCATCAGTGAAATGAGCAAATTAAACACGTAAGTAATGCTAAATAATTATTAGCACATGATATTGTTCAATCATGTTGTTTGTCTTCATATAAATTTTGCCATTATATTATGAATTGCTAAGCGTAAAGAAAAGCATTTATTCATGAAAAAATATATATAAAGACACATGTGATATGATATTTTATGTACATCGTTAAATAAGATAAACCGTAACGTGTTTATTCTATGTATTTACCGTAAGTGATTCTCAAACGTGTTTTATATTCCCTTTGGACAGGAGCACAATAGAAAGATTAGGACATAACATTGACGACATGCTGCTTCATTGCTCCTTCAACAGCAAAATATGTAATTCAAGGTTAGATATTCCCTTTTTATGGTAAATAAGCATGAACAATTTTTTCCCCAAAAGTGAAGGTCTAACGTAAAGCATAGGCCACTGACACTTGCCTCCCTTGGGTATTGGAAACGTCCCTTCACTCACACTTTGGTGTCCGCAAAATAAATGAAATATCAGACGATTTCAATGAAACGTTAGCAAATGCAATTCATGAAATTAAGACTAGGATGAGCACTATCAGCGCATACTTATTTAGTATACTGTATTCTGACCGCTTTACTACCACACTTTAATTTCTTGAAAAAATAAATGGCTTAAATATTGTTTGCTATATATTTGCTCCACCCATTGCAACCTTTGCTATCTCTGAATTCTCTTACTACTGGCTACTTTCTTTTCCTCGAGCAAAATAGCATGGCAGAAAATCTCTGATTCTGCAAATGGGGTACCTTGATCGCCTCGTACGATTTTGAAGTGGGATGTAGCAGGCAATGCTTACCCCGAATCAGTAAAGGTTGGTTGAAGGAACGTCCTAAGGTACATGTATGATACAAAAAGTGGGCCATCATATATGTACATATTATAACGATCTTTATTTGTACTGTATTACAGTTTCTTCACACCAATATTCAGTACTCGGTATGGAAGTTGCTACACACTCAAGTCCGATAGCCTTGTCAGCACAACACCTGGACCACAAAGCGGTATCATTTATCAAACTAACACTTTCAACGAAGAATACATTATGCCCTTCAATTTGCACTACAAATGAAATCAATGAAAAATAAACTGTGCCTACGTGTCTTATATCCAAAGTTTCAAACTCGTTTTAAACGAATTGTCAAACAAAGCTTTCGAATTAGATATCTCCAATATTGCCATTACCTCACGTTTGCCCCTGATGTTAAACGTTCGTCAAAGTCGGAAAAGCAGTGGGTTTTTGTCCCTATGTCGGGACATACCAAAATATGAAAAATCTAAGCTGTTGTTCCTTGTTAAGCGTTCAGCATTTCAATGTACAAAATATGAAAAGCTTTTTGAACAAGTTCCCCGTGACAACTATAATCAGGTTCAATCAGGAAACCGGCAAACGTTAATATTTTGCTTTTTTTATTTATTTAATATCTCTTTGTCGCGGGACCGTTAAGACTGAAAAAACAAACAATTTCATAACATCATATACATGTAGATGCATACGCCTCCGTGTGATCGTCGGTGTAATCGGAGAATATTACCCAAGCATCTGTCAGTTATAGCATACGAGCCATATTACACAATATTGCTATAAGTGGATACTGATTATAGCGTTATCTAAAAGCAGTTTCACCATGATCCATGATAAGGTATCCGGTATAGGTCATGGATATAAAGGTCATTTAGTAAGGGGACTGTATCTTAAACAATTAGGTATATACCATTTAGACTTAAATGTACAAAATTAAGTATTTATTTTGTGAAAGTATTATTTGATCATCATGTAATATTTCTGTAGGCTTGACTCTGATACTAAACATAGAGGCCTACGAATACGTTAGTCCATCAAGCAGTGGAAATGGAATCAAAATTGTGCTTCACGAACCAGGCTCTTACCCGTTTGTCGAGGAGCAGGGAGTGAATATAGCGCCGGGTCGAACCTCCATTGGTTTAAACCGCGTAAGTGACCCGCATAGTCGCATTAATAATATATCCTTTAACATAATTAGAAATACAATATGTATTTGTGACAGATGTCCTGTGTTATCTATTATTCACATCAACGAATTCAAGAAAGCTGCTTTCTGTTTCAGGATTAAATCTTATTTCTGCTTTCAATAAATGTTATATACATTTATACATCGTAAACAGGATATGCTTTATAGAGTTGTATTCGATTATGTTTACAGATAGAAATACAGAGGCTGGAACCTCCAATTGGGAGTTGTGAATATCACAAGGAGTATGTCAACCAATACGGAGTGGAATATTCAAAAATGGTATGATACAAAATAATTGACGTTTTTGCTGGGTGGTTAACTTAGGGTTTCCTTCCGTCTTCTGTTTAGGGTAAAACATAATAATATGATCTGATGCCCCCATTGTAACACTTTGTCGGTGTCACCCTTTGACCACATCATCATATGACCTTGGTTATTGCTAGGACGTTAAGCCACAAATGTACAAGATGGCAATTTGGTGCAACAACATTTCTTCATGCGGAGGTCTGCATCGTTTGTTATACTGAAAATAGTTCTTTCTTCTTACTCCGTACTTCTATCAATTGTTCTGAGGAGTCTAGAATTATCTTGGGTATTAAGGAAAGGGAAGGTAAATATAAATATACGAATAAAGACTGCAATGCCCACTTTGACTCAGTTACCATTTTAGCTTAGTCCTTTTCAAGTACTTGTTTCGAAAGCATATACTCGTGCTTTGTTTGTGTGTGTTCTTATAAGCTTGCGATATTGTTTTGCGATTGATTGAATTACACAAATAGTAATGTTCTATTTAGGCGTGTGAGCAGCTTTGTCAAATCAGACTTACACAGGATATATGCGGCTGTATTCCGACTATCGTGTCTATCGACCCATCCATCGCCACCAATAACTCGACGTTCTGCACACTACTAAACAGTATGTTATCAAAAATTCACATTATCCATTACCATTTAAATGACATTAAACAGTCAGACCAAGAATTTGGGATAGTTTTTATTGTTTGGTTACAAGTTCGGACTAAATATAACAAAACATTGCTAAATCATCGTTGTGTTATCTGAAAACATGCATTAATCTTCATTTATGTCGCACATATGTCCATATATATATATAACATATGCCAAGATATGATTGCGTTATATATTTATGAATTTTAAAAGAGAGTTGCAATGTAATAACAAATTTAAATTTCGTTTAATGTTTTTCCCTTCAAAATTCTGTTTGGTACCTCAACGATCTTATTTCTGTGACATATTTACAAGAAATGGTGATATTTGCCTTATTTTTGTGTTGCAGTTCCTTGTGCCGTCCTTGTCAGACAGGCTCAGGCGAAGGGTGATTTGTACTGCCCATGCTTTCACCCGTGTTTGTATGTTTCTTTAAATACGTTTACTTCCATAATCTCTTGCACAATGATTCCCAGCTAAGACATAAAATGTACATAATACATGCAATCATAGTAAGTACCCCTTTGATCTGATTTCACTTAATAGGTTTTCACGGTTATTCACCCGTTATCAGTATAATGTGACTGGGCGGAATGCTGCGCTGGGGGCCTTCGGCATGGTATTTTAGTGAGATAGCACTATAAAGTCGGCATTAGATCCGCGCTATCACAAGGAGGCAAGCACACCATCATACCATATATCCTGCATACACACACGCAAGCACGCATACACTACACACATGGAGGCACGTCCTTAAATGACCTTAGATGTTATAAGGACGTTAAACAAAAATATACCAAACCAAACCACTGCGCTACACGACCGTCCCCGGGAGGAAGTCGATACCATATTATATTATACAGGTTCATTTGTTATAGCTTCGTTTATAATTGATGTCGTGCTCAATACCTTGTTTACATTTACAGGGAAAATGAATACACCAAGACAATATCGAGCCATAGTTGGCCACGCGAGGAATACCTGGTAAGAAATCTATGTTCATAATAATATTCCACTTATTTTTCTCTTAAAGTCAATTGAATTTGAATTATTGTCGATGACGACAATAATTATATCAAGTATGTGTATGTGATAAATCATTTTTTTTAGTTTTTAAAAAATCATATTTTATTTATTTGCGTTTCGGTCACCCTAATTGCGTGAATGAGTTCGTCAACGCAATACATTTTATTCCATTTCCTAATATAGTTCTAAATACGACAACAAACGTAGCGAATATTTGTAGATAAATAAGGGACGTTTCATGTACAATTTTGGCTATCTTTTTTTCAACAGATCCATGAAATAATACCTTTGATTTGTGAAGATCCAGAACGCGCGACGAAAGTAGAAACCATAACCGGATACACATGCACGGACTTTCTTCTGTTTGCTCTACCCGAAGAATCCGTGAAACCGTATGTTGATACAAACGAAATCTTCCAAATCTTAATAGTAATTTCAATTTCAAATGATCTGTTGAGATTGAATTTAAGACGTTGCCTATCATCTGATGTTTCCTTTCAGTTATGTCTTTCACTGGTTAACCTTCTGTTACAATAACGCGGCCATGTGACATGCTTTTGCTGCTATATCATCAATGGACAACTTCGGCATAGTTTTTACAAAGATGTGTAGATGTATATCCCAAAAGAACAAAACAACCACAAACATTATTTTTCGATGGTGTTTTACTACTTAAGTCTTATGATCCTGTTGTTCGTGCGTCTCGTGAGATGACACCGTAATGTGGACCTCGAGTGTCCTCATTGCCTGTATATGTCGGCTTACTTTAACATTCTCACATATTTTTATTTATACCGGGATACCGGAACACCTGGTCGATTGCTTGATTGAATTCGGTTTTATTTTGGCTACAGATGGCATAACCTAATGCCATGGCGCAAAGTCTTTTGCAAACAAATGTCTTTGCAATAACAGATATATGCTCAACTCATAAGCTGACCACAGTAGCGCGACAATCCCCGTTGTCACAATGTTATGGCAACGGGAAGGTCAGAGGTAGTTTATGTTAGACTACACGAATATATGAATGAAAAATTGGCGTCGATGGACTTACTGAGTTTGCAAATGTCACGATTACAGTCCTTATACTGTACACGTATATCCACCATTATTATGGGGACGAGAATGTAAAAGATAACAAGATATTGTTTCTCATAGGGATTAACATAAAAAATAATATATGATCTGTTACACTGACAATACTACAAAATTGTATATGCAATGAAAATAAACAAAAGTTGTAGTTCATCAAATACTGCTGACGATATATTGCAGTTTTCGGGACAACTTCGTGAAGCTGGACGTGTACTTTGAAGATCTGAACTATGAACATATCGAGGAGGTCCCTTCGTATGACGTAAGTGTTAAATAATAGCCAATTCTTTAACATTTAATATCAAATTTTATTTTATTTCTTGTGCATTTCTTTCGGCGAGGAAAATCACATTTGTTTTGGTCCGATCTTGAACTCTTCGTTACCTATACGCACGTTCTACTACTCGAGCCTGCATACAACGAAGTAACGTTAGTTTCACAAAGTGCATTCACACAAAAAATAGAAGAATAATAGGCACCATATCAGGTAATACGTAACCTGATATAAGTGATCCATGTTATTGAAACAAATATTGGAAAGTCTGAGACATTCCTAACGTGTTCTTCATATTTCAATGGATAAACAAAATCTATACACGGATTTCCTTTCAAAACTTTATTTAAATAATTTGTACAAGAACTTGCTGCTTTCGAAATAAATGTCTTAGCCATTTGTTTTGTTTTAGGAATATCAGTTTCTATCCGATATTGGAGGAGCCACAGGCCTGTTTATTGGAGCATCGGTCCTGAGCCTTGTTGAGGTGGTCCAGATTCTTGTGGAATCCATTAGGTTCGCTGTGAGCAGACTTCGGAAATAGAAATATAGATTTTATTTGGATTGGAAAACAGGATATTCGACCCCGTACGTGGGTATGTGTGGACAGGTGACCTCGACAACAACGTCTGTAAATTAGCCAAGAGATCCGGTACCTTTTTTTTAGACGGCTTAAGGTGGTGGGTACATTTTGCCACGTGGCAAAGTTGCAGAACATCATAAGTAGAAAGGGTAAACACGACGTGTCATACAGTAATGATGTAACCAACTGATTTCAAATCTTGTGATTCATATGGTCCTTGTCATTTATCAAAGCTGAAACAAACTTTTATGTGTATTTATAGATTTTTTTTTTTAATTTTGTGTTTGGATTGGGATTTGCGAAGTGAATTTCGATCCTGCAAACAGATCATATTTTTATATTTGTTCGATGTTTTACGTCGTCACAACAAAATTATCTTTATATGACAACATTTGAGTCGCTATGTAATGGATAACTTTGGCAGATAGCAACATGACATTTGCATATCGTGACCACCTCTGTACAGCGCTTAACTTTTCGATACAGTCTAATGTATCAATGTTTTAATGTGTAAAAATTACGAAACATAATTCTGATATGATACCTAGTTCAACTTCCAACAGGTAAGGTAAGGTTTGATGTATAGAGTTAAAATGAGCTATTTAGTCAAATGACACTCTAAATCGAGTAGACACTGAAAATGTATAAACGAAAGTTTGCGCAATTGATAGTGGCATGAAGCCAACGTCAAGTGTGGTGAGTGTTTTTTTTGGAAAGCCGGTGATAACTACAACAGAAATAGCGCAATATCAGTACAATACCTCGCTGTCGACCGACAACTCAGTGTCCGTGAGTCTGATTTCACACATGTCACATTCTAGTCGCTTTCAATTTACACAATACATCGAACACAAGAGTTATACATAATTTATATATTTCGTATGAGATATCAATGTTAACAGATCGATTTGAAAACAATGTTTATATAGAGTAGGCACGCACTGACAAGGTGCCACAGGGAGAATTTCAAACCGCAATAAATACAATATCAGTAGGTTTTAACTTAAACAAGATTACTCCTGATACGTTGATTGATTTGGTTTTCAGGTCACTTGAGCTAAAGCTCAAGTGACCTATTGTTATCCGTCTTCGTCCGTCGTCGTCCGTCGTCCGTCGTCCGTTAACATTTTACATGTTCAACTTAAACTGAAATACTGGCAAAGGGGTTTCATTAACATTTCATGGGAAGGTTACTGACATCTCCCTGACCAAGTGTTGTTATTTTTCGGGTCGATCAGAAATTCAATATGGCCGCCACGGCCGCCATTTTGAAAAACTATTTCAAACTTAAAGTCAAGTTCTACTGGGCCGATTGAACTGAACCTTTGTAGGAATTATCGACTCATGGTCCTAACAAAGTGTTGTTATTTTTCGGGTCGAACAGAAATCCAATATGGCCGACTTGGCCGCAATTTTGAAAAACTATTTCAAACTTAAAGTCAAGTTCTACTGGGCAGATTGAACTGAACCTTTGTAGGAATGATCAACTCATGGTCCTGATAAAGTGTTGTTATTTTTCGGGTCGATCAGAAATCCAATATGACCCCCTACGCCACGGCCGCAATTTTGAAAAACTATTTCAAACTTAAAAACAAGTTCTGATAGACCGATTTAACTGAAACTCTGTCTAGGAATGATCACCTTATGGTCCTGACAAACTTAAGTTAACGTTATACTGAACTATTTTGTACTCAAATTGGTACATATTTCAACAACATAAATAAATACTGTAGGACTCAGGTGACCGTTTAGGCCTATGGGCCTCTTGTTTCGTAAGATGCTCTTGATTCACAATAAATGCCTGTTTTGGTATTCCAACGAAGTTAGATTAATAAAGCGAGGATGTACCTTCCCTCCTCGGCTGGAATGTCATTTTGTTAGCTATTAGTTCACCGATAGCTGCCGCTTAAACATATGGTTGTACAGTTGTAAACTAGACATTACTGATTTAAACCACCAAGAAAAATATTGTTTTATTTTAAATTCTTTTTTTTTTGCAGGAACTACCCTTTGAATACAATAATATTATAAGTATTATCCATGGTTGATAGGTTAAGCACACCAAACTGGTCGAGGGGAGGGACCAGACGAGAGTAACAACCCATCCCTTTTATATCGGGATTTGATTTGGTTTATATGGTTTAACAACTTATTTACGATTAAGGTCATTTGAACTTTGGTTTAGTTTGGTTTTATTGGAGTTAACGTCTTAATTCCAGCTAAGGTCTTTACTGTAGCCATATGTGTTATGTAGACATATATACATGTGTGTTTGTGTACTTTAAGCGGTATATTGGTTTAATTGATTAAGTGTACATCACATAATGTTTTGATGAATCATTTTGTGCATAATTAATCTTGCAAATCATTTCCATAGAAAACCGCAAGGGATGTTCAATAGTTTAGTTTTTCTTTACACAGTAGATATAGTGTATGCCTTAGTGTCTCGCAAGGTTATATGTTCCTAATGTTACAAAAGCATATCAATAATGATGCATACTAGCTGAGTAACACGCTTATTACTGTCAAACAACAAACGTCATACCAGCCCATAATATCTGTTGACCTATAAAGGGAAAAGCAAATTGCTGGTGATGAATTATATTTGTTAAAGTCACTGAATTATATTTGTTCAAGTCACTGAATTATCAACGCGCTATAAGGATAAACTTTATAATTTACTTACGAGAATAGGCAAATCGATATCAATCATTACAAGTCGCATGTATAAAGATAGACGCAGGAGAATTTATCGCCTATTAGGAATCCCCGTACTACTGCCAAAAACTAGTTTTTCAAGCGTAATTATAACTTTGATAAATCATTTCTGAAAAGAAAGCCATAACTTACACGACTTTTACGATAACAAAAAATAACAAAGAGGATATAAACATAAAATCAACAATCGTGTTTTGAGTGTACACAATTCAGTGGGTCTAGACAAGGATTCCAACCCCAGACGAGCTCAGTATGTTATACTGTCGCTCTACCCGGTCATTAGAAGCGTAATGCCCTAACTGTTGTAGAGTTATATCCATTCTGCAATTAAGCGGGTGTTACTGTATATAGGAGAAACCACAGTGCAGTGGGATTAGGATCTTTGAGATCATACATTGGGATACACAAATATGTTTGTTTTTAAACTCTCCGAGCCCTTTCCAGAGACAAAAAGGGGCTTTCTTGTTCCTGCCTCAAACATTCTTCATTAAATTGGTTTGAAAACAACTTGCATTACGTGTTGTGTATTCAATGATTGAAATCATGTCAGAATGGTTAATGTTTACAAAACCGATACCTGTAAAATTCTATCGAGTCTAATTTCTTTTTCAAAATTGTTCAATTTTGGGAAAAAATGACAAACTTTTTCTTCGAATTTATAGCCCTCCGTATAAAGATGTTTATGTAAAGGATATACCGAGATGAACTTGGAAAAAGCGCTCTTGAATTGAACTGGGAGAGTGCGAGATTTTTCATCATTGTGTAATTCTAAATTTACTTCAGACAGTCGTGTTGTGTTGTCCATGGTGGAATATCTGGTAGTATAGTAATTTCGATCAATGATAGGTCTAAATCCGAATTTTCCAGTAGCTTTTGAAGTCGTATTCCAAAAGACGGGATCAATTTATCATTTCGTTCGAAAAACTGTGTATACTTTGGATAAAACACTGATTCGAAAGTTGGGTTTTCTGGATTTGATTTCAATTGGTAATCAAACTGTAGACATAGTTTTGTCCTTCATACTTGGCAGCAAAAACGATAAATGTCTCGATAATATAAAAGTTCAATTAATGTTTTGACAGGTAATAATAGCTCAAACCCAATAAATTATTTTATGTACATCATTACACACCTTATTGTACAGTTATTGTACATGTATCACAAAAGGTAACAGGTGGATGTGCTTTTGTAAGGTAAGTTTCAAAACCATGAATACAAACAGTAAATTGAGTATATATAAACATTTTTTTCGGGTTTGTAAGTATGGATTATGAAAAGTTCTTTCTACACAAACAATAATATTTTCTATGTGACGCTTCGATGACTAGTACGATATGTACACTGTCACCTTCATCAGACAAATGACCAGTGAAGCGAATGTACACACAGGTGTAAAATGTGTACGAGTTGTCTATCGATGTCGATTTTGTATGAACAATAGTTGTTATATATGTACCGAAATGACTCAATTCAGCTACGCTTTGTTTAATACTTTGTCATAGATGTGAGAGTCTTTGGTAAAAGATACAAAAACCCAAGACGGTATTGTATTTTATTGTATAGTTTTACGGCCCATCGACAATTTGTGTCACTTAGTGCCAAACAACAGTGTAAAAACAGTCATTCACAAAAAACTGAAGACATAAAAACAAGTAACAAAGGATTAAAATGTACAAAGATTTCAAAATATATCAATAACAAACGAATTGTTTATAAAATATATCATATCTTATTATAGAGATTAATTAAATGTAAAAACTCATAGATTGATTGCACAGAAACAATAATAACACCAAGATGTTTGGCACTATGTACAGTTTCAATGACATGACCATTGATCTCGAGTTTATGTTTTCTTACCTTTGATAGCTTTTGGCTAACAAAATATAGCTATAAATGAGTTTAGCTGCTAATAGGACGCTAAATGCAATACAACCAAACTACATAAATCTCATCAGTGGTGATAAAGGTTAAAAGTGTTTGGAAGTACATGTACTGGGGGATATAGGATGTTCTGTTGGGTTGAATTAGGCACAATCAGGTTTACGAGGTTAATATAAATCACATAGGAATTAATTTTTAAAACTATTTTTTAATGAATGTGACAAAAAAAGAACCCCCATTAATATCCCAAGATGAGTTTTCTTCTATAATGCACTTATCATTTAAAAACACAGCAAGAACTAATTTCTTATCATTATGTTTATGCATCATGATTTTTTTGACCATATTCACTTTAGTCATATATCAAACGGCGTTATGCTGATTCAATTCCATGCCTTCCTAAAAGCTGCAAAGCATCATATTCACATGCTAGCTATTAAGAACGTCAATTATATCAAAACTCATGGAAGCTACATGTCCATCCTGGTTGTTTCCACAAATTGGTTTCAGATATCATGTTGGGTGAGTGACCTTTATACTAGGGGATATATGATAATGAGACCTGACATTGGCATTCAGTGGTCAGCGACCTTAATTTATTCCGGCAATTCTTTTCTTAACGATACCAAAGTGCGTATAGTTTCTTCTAAATGAACCATTTTATCAAGGCTGAGACGGATAGCTATGACAGACCTTTCAACTTTAAAGGATGTAATTGCAGACCTAGCTACTTGTGGGAATCGTCGAATGGTTTCAGTCACCTCCAAGGACACACGGCTAAAACCAAATTCATCTCTTGAAGTGTTATTCCACACACACAAAATGTATGAAATACCTGATGAATAATAGTTTTCGACTCTGAGGATTCCGAACAAATTTAGTCTGGAAAATTCTTGAACAAAGGGGATTAAATTCTTTAAAAACGAAGGGTGTGGCTGAGGGCGGGGACCAATAGGGGAATATGTTTCAAAATTCTTCGTCTTCTGGGAAATTTAACCGAGCTTGGCCTGATGCATCTTTTGGCAAAGGGGACTCAATTTTGAATAAACGATGGGCATGGCCTCTCAAGGGGCAAAGCCAAATAATAGAAATAGAGGTAAATCTTCACAATTATTTTCCTTCCGTACCAATACAGAGATCTTAACTAAATATGTTCTACAGCATTTGTAGGCAAATGAGCCTCAATTTAATATAAACACAGGGCGTATACATCCCGCGGGCGACAGAGGGGCAGGGTCAAATTGAAGAAGTTATGTCATATTTTGGAAATGGTTGAGATCCCCACCCTTCATCCATATATACCATCACTCAACATAGTTATTCAAATTAAATGATCAATAGAGTATATTTTGACGTGGATACATTTTTTACTTCAGAAACATTGATGACCTCTTAATTAAAACAATAATGAAGTTCTAAATGACCTTTAAATTTGCGTTGTAGCTGTTGTAAGTAGGGTTTGCTTCCCATCTACCATTTCCTACGCTGATGCTATTACCACTCTACAACGATCTATGTATTTCTTTAACGGTCTAAGGATAGACAACTCTGTTTCAGATGGTTTGTTAGGTTCTATTTTGTTTGATTAAATGACATGCTAACTTGATTGAAGTAAGAAAATGGCATTTAACGGATTACGTCATCACGTTTTCGTATTGCTATGCCACTTAAGAAAATCAAGCACAGTTTACTGTACATATACCAGTCTTTATTAATATAAATACCACAGTAAATAAGCATTTTATGTAACCGTTCCAGAACAAATTCCAGATACAAAGCTTACGGCCAACCTTCCGGACTGATGGACCACTAGCTGTAAAATACAACTATGTGGTTTACACCAATAACAAATAATTTTGAAGATTACATGTACATCATGATATCATGCGTTTGTCCATGTCCAACCTAAACAGTGTGGCCAGAAGGCTCGATAAGACATTCATGTTATCTGTAAGCGTGGTTTTCTTGTAAATATATATATATATATATATATTTGATTAATGACATTATGTTAAGACTTGTATACGTAATATTGACAATGAAAATGTTATGTGTAATTTAAAATAAAGCAAAATAGTCATGCATACGTCGTACATAGCCTTGACTGTCACATGATCGAAGGCCAGACCAAGAGCTCGTGTATGCCCACTGACAATGAATTGCAAGATAACTGGATCGTTTACGTATTGCGCTAATGTGTTATAAAGGTACACCATCTAGGACTAACGTGTATGCAGTAGATATTGATTAGTGTGAGTCATTTGTAATGTTGATGAAAAAGGTTTTATAAATCGGAGATGGCTCTCATTAGAAATTCATGGTTTTATGTTTGCCATATTGAACATATGTATTGTTTGAGGAATGGCACGGTATTTACAATTTTATTCACAACGTATTGATTAATTGGAACCTATGTGAATCGAGGAAAAAATAGACAACTCCGATTTGGGGTTCCCTGCTAAATATTGTTCCCATGTCTTCTGTTACATGTAAGAACACAATAAAGAAACGATAATTGACCTGCTGTCCTAATTTCAACAGTTTATTTATTTGGAACACTGGTGGGTTCCTTCGACTTGGTGTTTCATTTAAAATAGCACTCTTAATGTCGACATTTCCTCTTTGCAAGGATGCAAGTACACCAAAATATTACATTGACAACTTCATCGACAGAGGCATGTCCTTTAATGACCTTAGCTGTTATTATGACACTTAATCAAATAAAGCAAAATAATCCACATGTATCTCTCAAACCTCGTTTCTTTTGGTTTTGTTGTAAAAACTATCATTGAAATCGTAATATTAAGACACTGTTGGCATTTCTGAGTTGATAAAGCCTGGCAATACTTTAGTACTAATGCTTATCTTGCTCAATTTACAGGTTTTCTAATGGAAAGCAATCAATCGATACAACCAGCAGTGTAATCAGGGTTTTTTTCACGTTAAGATTTCCCTAGCCAGTACTTCTGTGAGATGGTAACAACTGAACTGTACAGGCATCCATATCAAAACGATTCAGAGCAGCTCTCTGATAGGTGTGTTTGATGATAAAAGGTTTGACATGAGGAGCGGTCCGAAACCTGAAATTCTATGTATGTCGTGATCAGTGTTATTTACTCAATAAATATTTTACAATTAACTACCAAGCCTTAATAGCTATTAACGTTTTTATTAATTGTACATGAACAAAATGTATGAAAAGTAATCAATAATTGAAATTAAAAAAAGACAAACATCGTTTACCGTTGTTTGGTTGCCATAACGACATTCGTCGTAATATCTGTTCGTCCAGTAGGTACAAGTTTCCTATGATCGTGTTGAGCTTTGAGATCGGCATCAAAGGTAAGATATTGATTTCTTCATATCGAACACTTGGTTCGACTCTATAAATACAATAATGGTCAATGAAATTGGTGAACTAATAATATTAATATCTTCCCTAATCTTGAAATTGTAAGATTAAGTAGCATAAATGTTTTGTCCTTTAGATATCTACGACCTAAAACACGCCATACGAAATAGATATTATCGATTTCCAGGATGATTAAAAAGTATTGTTGGAATTGAATAAGAATCGTACATATTTCCTTTAATATGTTTTTTCGACCTTTTACTGGCCCTAATGCCTTCTTCTGTATTGACGACCATTTAGAATGTAATGATATCAATAACCGAATTTGTCCTCGAACATATTTTTACCCCAAAAATTGTAAAAGTTATTTACAAACAGGATTTGTCAAGTTAGAAATATTTCTAAACGAAAATATTTTTAAAAGAAAGTGGTCAACAGTTGCAATTTGCTAGATTGTTCATGCGTACCGCATTAGTATTGTAATTTATCAAACGTGTATTATCGTTTGCGGAATCAGTTTAAATAAGTGGTTTACATTTTTTTATCTACGGCGATGGTGAGTTTTTAACATATACTGATGAGTCGAAAATATGTATTGCATTACCATCTTTTTTAAGAAAAAAAACCTTGCTTAATTTTTCTTCAATGCTAAATTTAGGCCCTCATGGTCGACGTACCATATTATATTACAAAATTGCTCAAAAACTGTAAATTACAAATAGTTGTCGAATTGAAATATTCGTCGAATATTACAGCAAAAGCAATAAATAAATAATGAACAACAGTCAGTTATCTATTTTGATTCTTTGTCTGTTCTACAATGCTTTCGCAATAGAAATTTGAAGAATACTTTAATTTGAAAAATATTAACATTATAACATAATATATCCCAAAATGTAACACAGCATTATGATGGGTTCCCGTACATGTGGACAAACCAAGTGATAGAAAAGACGATCGTGCTGCTAAAGCAACTCTATTGCTACCACCTGTTGATTTTAAACTTCATTTTAATGATTTTAAACCATTTCGATGAATGGCATCCTATCAACACTGAGACGAGGTTATCCTGGCCTGTCTCCAGGTAGATCAAATATACATTACCCATCGGTAATTATTTAAACGTGAACACCAGTCTTAATGTATAGCATGTCCAGAACCTTTTACAGTAAGAAACTTGTTACAAGATTGTGTTGACCTTCAGTCAACTCGAGAGAAAAAACACTATTTTAACCTTACGTGTCTTAAATCTCTGTTCGAAAAAATAAGCTTTCAATATTCGAACTTCATTTACCTTCATTTACGTTTGTTTGACGTCATTTGATGGCCATAAAGACCTTTCTTGTGTCGATGGGCCGTTAAACATGTAAAAATAATAATAATTACCTCCAACAGTCGTACAAGGGAAAGGTGGTGGTAGTGTTGTAAGTGACATCATACACCTATATAACTGATTAGATCAAAAGCAAACCAATTCAAAATGTTAACCATTGAAAACCGATAGTGGTAGCCTTAGATACGCAGTTGCCCAAAAGGATTGAATGCGCATCTAAGCCAGCCAGCCAATACGTCAGAATCCGACTAGCAATTTCCAAGGAATGTGTCGGATAAAATGGCGCCGAAAGACAGAAGGACAATACTAATATTTTTGTATTAAAAAACGGAAGTTAAAAAGGAGTTCACCAAAGGCGTTTGGAGACTTAGTTATTCTTTGTTGGCTCAGTGCGATTCCAGATCAAACTTTTAAATCATGTAGTCATATTGATCAAACTACTAGATGTCTATCGCGTTCTATTTGCACTATCCTCAGTACAGAGGTCAAGATTACAAAACATGACTGTTAACTAATTTAACTTGAATAAATATTCTCGAGTTAACGCAAATAGTAACCCCACATAATATGGTGTGCTAACGATTGTCATCGCTTTTCTGATCCTCTACATTTCAATATGAACGTTCTTTGAATGGACTTTTAATCAGCTGATACTATTAGCCCGTATACATATAACATGAACTCGGTTTTTATGATTATAATAGTCTCGGAGAATGTATAACTGAATATCGATTGTTCTGCTAAATATTGTATTCAAACCATTTCATACCAGCAGAAATATTGACTTATTTCAGATAGTAATATGGCCAAGGTGCATGCAGAAGATTCCACAGGAAACGTAAGTTGTCCTTCTGCACGGGCAAAACTTGCCGATAAGCTGATTAAGGCGTCTCTCGACTTGTCCATTGTCAAATGGCATCAACACACTTCTGGTCTAGAGCGACATTAGAAATGTTTTTGTTAACTTGATCCTGTAAATCGTATTTTAGAATACATTTACATACATGAGAATTTAGACAGCCTTTGACCGAGTGCAGGAGCATGTTAAGGGGGTAGATTTGGGGTTTCATCTATATTTAGAAAACTCCATCAGTATCGGTGAAGGCATTATTACCCGGTTAGGTAGGAAGCTTTGTTTATTTGTTTAGTGTCTTCCGTCCCTGGCCAAAATATGGCTGAGACCATTCCAGCGCCAAACAGATTCAATATATATAGATGAAGGGTGTGACCCCTTCCCTTTGAAGGACACATGAGTATTTCTTTTTATATATATATTTCTATCAGGTAATTTGTAACTATCCATACAGTTTGAATTTATATCGTGAAAAACTGTACTTGTGTTCCCTTGTTATGCATGGTATGAGGACAACGGCTGCTTTTTACACCCTTTAGGCCTTCAATACTTACAGATTGAAGGCATCCATTACACACATTGGCGGGCGTCCTAAAATAACATCAGCTGTTATTGGGACGGTAAACATTTAAAAGCAAACCAAATAAGTCCCATTCTTTTGGTAGACATTAACATAACTTGTCAACGCAGACAGCAAAAGTCTGGTCTGATGACGTTTAATAAGCAAGAGGTCCATGGGCCTTTACGGTCACCTGATATATTTATACAGAGAGTTGATTTTGTTTTTTAACACGAACAGAAATATTATTCAAAGTGACAAAAAACAATAAAACCACCTTATTCAATATCTAGCATACAGATTTAAGACTAAAAAGTATTTGAAACTAGCACCTCTGATTCTAAACAAGGAAAATGAAGAAATTTTAGCACACCGACTCCTTTGGGCCCCACCCTACAGCCCTTGGGGGTAGGGCTGGCTCAAAATTTTCAAAGTATCAAACTGTCAACTCAGGGTTATGATTCCAATCAAGTTATTAACATGTAATATCAAAGTATCATTTGCCATTATAAACTATAATAAATTTTGCCCCCCCCCTCCCCCCTCCTTCCCCAGGGGGTAAACGTGAGACCCTGGGGGTCATAAACCTTAAGACCCTTCCATCTATGAAGAGTGTTTGATTCTACCATATCTTGAGAAGAAGATTTTTAAAATTTCAGTCAATTCGGCACTTTTTGGCCCCACCCATCAGCCCCGGGGGGTGTCAGTCAGGGCTCATATGTGCATACCATCAAACTGCTACCCAATACTGATATTGCTAACCTAAATTGAATTACTTCTAATGGAACTTAAACAAATGTTAGTCCAAAATGTGATTTCCCTATATAAACTATAGTAAAGTTTACCCCCTCCCCAGGGGAAACATGAGACCCAAGGGTCATGAAATTCACAATTTTGGTAGAGCACCTTAAGACCCTTCCATCTATGAAGAGTGTTTAATTATACCATATCTGGGTCTTGAGAAGAAGATTTTTGAAATTCCAGTCAATTCGACCTTTTTGGCCCCTCCCATCAGCCCTAGGGGGGTCAGTCAGGGATCATATGTGCATACCATCAAACTGCTATCCAATACTGATAGTGCTAACCTAAACTGAATTACCTCCAATGGCAATTAAACAAATGTTAGTCCAAAATGTGATTTCCCTATATAAACTATAGTAAAGTTTACCCCCTCCCCAGGGGGAAACGTGAGACCCCAGGGTCAAGAAATTCACAAATTTGGTAAAGCACCTTAAGACCCTTCCATCTATGAAGAGTATTTGAATCTACCATATCTGGGTCTTGAGAGGAAGATTTCTGAAATTTTAGTCAATTTGACCCTTTTTGGACCCGCCCCTCAGGCCCCTGGGAGCTGGGGACCAAACCGGCCACTGTTTTTTTTTAATTTTGGCCATGGAAGGTTTCTGCAAAATTTCACTGACATTGGTTTAGGGGTTTTGGAGAAGAAGTCGAAAATGTAAATTGTTTACGGACGCACAACGGACGACGGACGACGCCGGACAAAATGCGATCGCAATAGGTCACTTGAGACTTTGTCTCAGGTGACCTGAAAACATCTAACAGCAAAGGGAAGGCGCAAAAGCAGTCATTTACAGTGAAACCAGCACATAATGTCACTCGTTTGATATACCACCTATATGATTGGCATCATTTTAATATTTCACCTCTCATTTTCTCTATCTCATGCAAATTTATTATACACATTGAGGCACCCCCTTAGTAAGGTCGCAAATGTTGCAATGAATGCGGCAGCTTTATTTTGGTCACTTGGGTGTCTCCAAATAAAGGGTACAAAAGCAAATATCAATTCAGCAAGGGGCTCCACCATTAGTTGCCTCTTAAACCATACCTGGTTTGGTTTCTTATTGTTTAACGTCCTATCAACAGCTATGGTCATTCAAGGATGGCCTCCCCTGTGTGCAAGATGCATGCGTGTAGTGTATGCGTGTGTGTTTTGGACGGCTGCAATATGTTCGTGTTCGTCTTCTTGTGATAGCGCGGAACTGATGCCAACTTTATAGTGCTATCTCACTGAATCATACTGCCGAAGACACCCAGCAGGACACCCCACCCGGTCACATTATACTGACAACGGGCGAACCAGTCGTCCCAATCCTAAATTGCTGAGCGTTAAGCAAGAGTATAAACTACCATTTTTATAGACTATGGTATATCTCGGCCTGGGAACATAACCCAAAGCCCTGAACACAGGGGCGAACGCTCAACTAAAGGCCAAGAGTGAGGCATTGTCAAGGGAGACATTGAGAAGAAGAAAGTTGTTTAGAAAGAAGAGAAAAGATAAGATCCCAAATTTAGTCGCCTGTTACGATCATGCAATGCGGGCAGCAGGTACAATTCTTACCCCCTACTTATAACCATACAGTTGGTAAAAGCAGGTATATTCTGTTCTGAAAATTTGGCCTACAGTGGTGGGTAATCAATTATTTTATTCATTTAAAAGTTAAAATACGCCTTGTATAACACATTTGGACAATTTTTCCGCATAGTTTCAGAACCGGAACTGAGTGGGAATTTATTCCGAAAAATACCCGGATCATTAGTTGAATTAGCTTACATGTTGCAATCATCAGAATTAAAACATTTCTTTAACTATGTTATATATTCCGATGTATACTTTACATTGATAAATATGACCGTGGTAAAAAATGAATACAGCAGAGAGATCTTTCATTTGATCCCAGAGTAGTTACTCGTATATGCATAAGTTTCAGCTAATTGTTTTATTGTTCAATTGCTATATGTTGATACGTCTCCGGATGGGTCATTCATACATTACCCATTGTTATTTATTAAAACGTGAAGTCCAGCCTCAATGCATAGCGTGTCAGGAACCATTTACAGTAAAACACTTGCTATTAGATTGTCAACTCGAGAACATTTCTATAATAACATTACATGTCTCAAATCTCTTTTCGAAAACATAACTGTTGATCTTTTTTTATAATATTTGAGTCACCCTAGCCACTTTCAATATTCAAATTGACGTTTGTCTTTTACCTTTAAGTTAGGTTTGATGTATTTATTTAGCATTTGTTGTTGTCGAGCATTTGTTAGCCCTAATGACTTGTCCTGTGTTGATGGGCCGTTAATCATTGATTATAATAATAATAATACACATCACCTTTCAGGATATTGAAATGGAGAATGCAGACACAAAGATAGAGAATTATGAAACCGATGTAAGTAAATACTGAATAATTCACCGTCGATAATTTCCACGATTTCATATTCTTCATAACAATTTGTGGAAATGGTTTGTTCATCTGGGCAGGCGCTCAGCGTTCAAGGCCAAAAGCGCAGTGTTACCAAGCAATACGCTAGGGAATAAAAAGTAGTAATAAGTAGAAAGAAAGATAAAGATCCAAAATATTGCAATGGGCACAGCAGATTTAATTTGGTCGCTTTTGTATCCCCCAATAGAGGACACCATAGCAAATCCCTAATACTTCAGGGGGGTTCCCCACATTAGTCGTCTCCTACGATACATGCAGTGGGTAACAGCAAGTGTATGTTTTCCCGATCCCCCACCTGTAGGGGTGTCATGACCAGTTGAATAATATTCAAGTATATCGAAAATATATGAATTTAATGTATATATTTGTCAGATCAATTGATTTCTCACCCGAAAGATAGATACGTGGACTTTTGTGAAATGTATATGTCAAACGTGTAGCATTATAAAAAAACAATGAAGACCAAACGTCGTTGCTCGTCTGCAGAATAGGGTCATCATATGTACCCTCAACACAATACTTGAAACATCATCTATTCTGCTTTTTATCTTACCCACTCTCCTTTCTATTTTATTATCATTATTTTACTGTACACTGGACGTTCACGAAAAGAATATATCAAACTTAAATTAAAAAAAGAATAATTGTTAAGGATGCAAAAAAGAAAGATATCAAAAGAAAAAACATGTTGCATAGGCTATTTCCTTCGAAAAGGTTTTAGTATATTATGATTGCAAGCTATACACATGACGTATATTCAAATCAGATATCCTAGATAGTTCAAAAGTTCGAAAGTTTGAAAGGTTAACACACATCTTTACCAGCATATTATGGACATTAAATATATGCTTTTTCACACTCTTTTCATTGTGTATTTGAGTCTGGATGTACATTTATTTATACCATTTGTGTTAGATTCCCTCAGGAGATGTTGCAAAAGATGAAGAAAAAGAAAAGTTTCAAGCAGTTCTCAAAGAATTGGCAATAGACACTACAATTCATGGCATAGCAAATATTGTGAGTGCTAAAAAGACCTACAAAAAGATTCTGTGGCTGAGTCTATGGTTGTTGGTATTGGTGGGATACTGTTTTCAATTATCCCAGATTTATACAACATTTACAACTGCACAAAAAAAGACAACAATGGATTTGAAATTTGGAGTTCAGAAATTCCCAGGAATAACATTTTGTAACCTAAACCCAATAACGAAATCGTCCTTGAGAGAAACATCACTCGACATGCAGCTGTTTTTGACTTTGTCAGAGGCTCAGGTAAGGTGTCTTACTAGAACATTTCGTCATTTAGGGAAAACAAATGTAGATAGAGTGAGATTATATTTTGCTTGACATAAAGCTTACTGTTGTAACATTTCGTATTGTTGTGGGTTTTTTTTTGCAAATCGTCTAAATTGATGGATGACATTTTCACACTTTTACTTGAAAATAACTAAGAGGATTGGTAGTTTTAAAAATAGCTATAAAATAAATGAAAAATTAGAATTAAAAAAATGCATAGAAATATCAGACCAGCATTAACATACATGTACATACCTATTGATTGAATGCTTCATTCTACGGTCTAGATGAGATATTATTCGCAGCCTATAGATGTTGAAATCGACAGAAATCACCCTGGCTTCAAGTTTCTCAATAACTTTGAGAAACATGGGTTTAACACAGATGGATGGGACGTGCTAAGTTATATTCCGACCGATCCCATGCAAACGAGAGACCTATTTATCAGCAGTGAAATGAGCAAATTAAACACGTAAGTAATGCTGAATAATTATTAGCACATGATATTGTTCAATCATATTGTTTGTCTTGAAATAAATTTTGCCATTATATTATGAATTGCAAAGCGTAAAGAAAAGCATTTATTCATGAAAAAATATATATAAAGAGACATGTGCTATGATATTTTTATGTACATCGTTAAATAAGATGGAATTTCACAAATCCAAAAAACCGTAACATGTTTATTCTATGTATTTACCGTAAATAATTCTCAAACGTGTTTTATATTCCCTTTGGACAGGAGCACAATAGAAAGATTAGGACATAACATTGACGACATGCTGCTTCATTGCTCCTTCAACAGCAAAATATGTAATTCAAGGTTAGATATTCCCTTTTTATGGTAAATAAGATAGACAAATTAACACATGCTAAGCCTATAATGACCTAGAATGGTGCAATTGGAGGTTCAACAAAACCACCGTATATCATCGTTACATCCTATTTTAAACTTGCCAGTCATAAGTGTGTGCAACTAGTCTAGCATAAACAATTCTTTTCCCAAAAACTAAGGTCGGACGTAAAGCATAGGTCACTGACACCTATGGATATTGGAAACGTCCCTTCACTCACACTTTGGTGTCCGCATAATAAATGAAATATCAGACGATTTCAATGAAACGTTAGCAAATGCAATTCATGAAATTAAGACTAGGATGAGCACTATCAGCGCATACTTATTTAGTATACTGTATTCTGACCGCTTTACTACCACACTTTAATTTCTGGAAAAATAAATGGCTTAAATATTGTTTGCTATATATCTGCTCCACCCATTGCAACCTTTGCTATCTCTGAATTCTCTTACTACTGACTACTTTCTTTTCCTCGAGAAAAATACATGGCAGAAAATCTCTAATTCTGCAAATGGGGTACATTGATCGCCTCGTACGATTTTGAAGAGGGATATAGCAGACAATGCTTACCCCGAATAAGCAAAGGTTTATTGAAGGAACGTCCTAAGGTACATGTTTGATACAAAAGGTGGGCCATCATATATGTACATATTATAACGATCTTTATTTGTACTGTATTACAGTTTCTTCACACCAATAAGCAGTACTCGGTATGGAAGTTGCTACACACTCAAGTCCGATAGCCTTGTCAGCACAACACCTGGACCACAAAGCGGTATCATTTATCAAACTAATACTTTCAACGAAGGATACATTATGCCCCTCAATTTGCACTACAAATGAAATCAATGAAAAATAAACTGTGCCTATGTGTTTTATATCCAAAGTTTCGAACATGTTTTGAACGAATTGTCAAACAAAGCTTTCGAATTAGATATCTCCAATATAGCCAATACCTCACGTTTGCCCCTGGCGTTAAACGTTCGTCAAAGTCGGAAAAGCAGTGGGTTTTTGTCCCTATGTCGTGACATACCAAAATATGAAAAATATAAGCTGTTGTTTCTTGTTAAGCATTCAGCATTTCAATGTACAAAATATGAAAAGCTTTTTGAACAAGTTCCCCGTGACAACTATAATCAGGTTCAATCAGGAAACCGGCAAACGTTAATATTTTGTTTTTTGTTAATTTACTTAATATCTCTTTGTCGCGGGGCCGTTAAGACTGAAAAAATAAACAATTTCATAACATCATATACATGTAGATGCATACGCCTCCGTGTGATCGTCGGTGTTAATCGGAGAATATTACCAATCATCTGTCAGTTATTACATACGAGCCATCTTACACAATATTGCTATAAGTGGATACTGATTATAGCGTTATCTAAAAGCAGTTTCAGCACGATCCATGATAAGGTATCCGGTATTGGTCATGGATATACAGCTCATTAATTAAGGTGATTGTATCTTAAACAATTTGGTATATACCATTTAGACTTAAATGTACAAAATTAAGAGTTTATTTTGTGAAGGTATGGATTTGATCATCATATAATATTTCTGTAGGCTTGACTCTGATACTAAACATAGAGGCTTACGAATACGTTAGTCCATCAAGCAGTGGAAATGGAATCAAAATTGTGCTTCACGAACCAGGCTCTTACCCGTTTGTCGAGGAGCAGGGAGTGAATATAGCGCCGGGTCGAACCTCCATTGGATTAAACCGCGTAAGTGACCCGCATAGTCGCATTAATAATATATCCTTTAACATAATTAGAAATACAATATGTATTTGTGACAGATGTCCTGTGTTATCTATTATTCACATCAACGAATTCAAGAAAGCTGCTTTCTGTTTCAGGATTAAATATCATTTCTGCTTTCAATAAATGTTGTATTCGATTATGTTTACAGATAGAAATACAGAGGTTGGAGCCTCCAATTGGAAGTTGTGAATATCACAAGGAGTATGTCAACCAATACGGAGTGGAATATTCAAAAATGGTATGATACAAAATAATTGACGTTTTTGCTGGGTGGTTAACTTAGGGTTTCCTTCCGTCTTCTGTTTAGGGTAAAACATAATGATATGATCTGATGCCCCCATTGTAACACTTTGTCGGTGTCACCCTTTGACCACATCATCATATGACCTTGGCTATTGCTAGGACGTTAAGCCACAAATGTACAAAATGGCAATTTGGTGCAACAACATTTCTGTATGCGGAGTTCTGCATCGTTTGTTATACTGAAAATAGTTCTTTCTTCTTACTCCGTACTTCTATCAATTGTTCTGAGGAGTCTAGAATTATCTTGGGTATTAAGGAAAGGGAAGGTTAATACAAATATACGAATAAAGACTGCAATGCCCGCTTTGGCTCAGTTACTATTTTAGCTTAGTCGTTTTCAAGTACTTGTTTCGATAACATATACTCGTGCTTTGTGTGTGTGTGTTCTTATAAGCTTGCGATATTGTTTTGCGATTGATTGAATTACACGAATAGTAATGTTCTATTTAGGCGTGTGAGCAGCTTTGTCAAATCAGACTTACACAGGATATATGCGGCTGTATTCCGACTATGGTATCTATCGACCCATCCATCGTCACCAATAACTCGACGTTCTGCACACTACTAGACAGTATGTTATCAAAAATTCACATAATCCATTACCATCTAAATGACATTAAACAGTCAGACCAAGGATTTGGGATAGTTTTTATTGTTTGGTTACAAGTTCGGACTAAATATAACAAAACATTGCTAAATCATCGTTGTGTTATCTGAAAACATGCATTGATCTTCATTTATGTCGCACATATGTCCATATATATAAAATGTGCCAAGATATGATTGGGTTATATATTTATGAATTTTATAAGAGAGTTGCAATGTAATAACAAATTTAAATTTCGTTTAATGTTTTTCACTTCAAAATGCTGTTTGGTACCTCAACGATCTTATTTCTGTGACATATTTACAAGAAATGGTGATATTTGCCTTATTTTGTGTTGCAGCTCCTTGTGCCGTCCTTGTCAGACAGGCTCAGGTGAAGGGTGATTTGTACTGCCCATGCTCCAACCCGTGTTTGTACGTTTCTTTAAATACGTTTACTTGCATAATCTCTTGCACAATGATTTCCAGCTAAGACATAAAAAGTATATAATACATGCAAGCATAGTAAGTACCCCTTTGATCTGATTTCACTTAATAGGTTTTCACGGTAAAATGTTCATATTCTCAACGCTAAATACAACACATTTTATTTACAAACTATAGCAATAAACTGTATAGACCAGTAAACATACTCAAGACAAAATAAAGAGATTCTTTCATATGAAGTATAATATATAAATAGATAATAATTAAGGTCTTAATGTTGGAGGAAAGTGGAGTAACCACACAAAATCCACGTGATCGGGCAGGTGACCCTTTTTACGCACAATCTAGGAATAGAACCCCGGGCGCCTTTGTGAAAGCGCTACACACACCTGGCGGTTGGGGATCGAGAAAAATACACCTGCTGTTACCCACTGTATCGTATCAGGCAGCTAATTTGAGAAACCCCTGCAGAATTGGGGATTTGCTTTGTTGTCCTCTATTTGGGGACACAAAAGCGACCAAAATAAATCTGCTGCACCCATTGCCATATTTGGGATCTTTATCTTTCTTTCTACTTCGAACTACTTTTTAATTCCTAGTGCCTTGCTTGACATCACCTCACTTTCGGCCTTGACGTTGAGAGTTCGCCCAGGCGGGGAAGGCAATTGGTTCTGTCTCAAGACCGGGACATACCAAAGTCCTTAGAAATGCAGTTGTTTTTCCCTGCTTAACGTTCAGCATTTACGGGACGGCACCATCAGTATAGTGTGACTGGACGGAATGCTGTGCTGGGGGCCTTCGGCATGGTATTTCAGGGAGATAGCACTATAAAGTCGGCATCAGATCCGCGCTATCACAAGGAGGCAAGCACAACAACATACCATATATCCTGCATACACACACGCAAGCACGCATACACTACACACATGGAGGCACGTCCTTAAATGGCCTTAGCTGTTAATAGGACGTTAAACAAAACTAAACCAAACCAAACCACTGCGCTACACGACCGTCCCCCGGAGGAAGTCGATACCATATTATATTATATAGGTTCATTAGTTATAGCTTCGTTTATAATTGATGTCGTGCTCAATACCTTGTTTACATTTACAGGGGAAATGAATACACCAAGACAATATCGAGCCATAGTTGGCCACGCGAGGAATACCTGGTAAGAAATCTATGTTCATAATAATATTCCACTTATTTTTCTCTTAAAGTCAATTGAATTTTAATTATTGCCGATGATGACAATAATTATATCAAGTATGTGTATGTGATATATCAATTTTTTAAATCTTTAAAAAAACATATTTTATTTATTTGCGTTTCGGTCACCCTAATTGCGTGAATGAGTTCGTCAACGCAATACATTTTATTCCATTTCCTAATATAATTCTAAATACGACAACAAACGTAGCGAATATTTGTAGATAAATAAGGGACGTTTCATGTACAATTTTGGCTACCTTTTTTTTTCAACAGATCCATGAAATAATACCTTTGATTTGTGAAGATCCAGAACGCGCGACGAAAGTAGAAAATATAACCGGATACACATGCACGGACTTTCTTCTGTTTGCTCTACCCGAAGAATCCGTGAAACCGTATGTTGATACAAACGAAATCATCCAAATCTTAATAATAATTTCAATTTCAAATGATCTGTTGAGATTGAATTTAAGACGTTGCCTATTACCTGATGTTTCCTTTCGGTAATGTCTTTCACTGGTTAACCTTCTGTTACAATAACGCGGCCAAGTGAGATGCTTTCGCTGCTATATCATCAATGGACAACTTCGGCATCGCTTTTACAAAGATGTGTACATGTATATCCCAAAAGAACAAAATAACCACAAGTATGATTGTTTTCTCCTACTAACTTTTTTCGATGGTGTCTTATGATCCCGTTGATCATGCGTTTTCGTGAAATGACACCGTAATGTGGACCTCGAGTGTCCTCATTGCCTGTATATGTCGGCTTACTTTAACATTAAAAGTTGTAAAAATCTTGAACAAATTCGCAAGCAAGCTCACATGTTTCTTTTTTTATACCGGGATATTTACTTTGGTTCAGGCGACATTTTTTAATGATACAACAAAAAATTACAAAAAGGAAAATAATTCAAAATGGAAAAGAATACATGAAACACAAAATCTGGTCGATTGCTTGAGTGACTTTGGTTTTAATTTGGCTACAGATGGCATAAGCATGGCCTATGCCATGGCGCAAAGTCGTATGCAGACAAAGGTCTTTGTAACAACAGATATAAGCTCAACTCATAAGCTGACCTTAGTAGCGCGACACTCCCCGTTGTCAAAATGTTATGGCAACGGGAAGGTCAGAGGTAGTTTATGTTAGACTACACGAATATATGAATGAAAACATGGTGTCGATGGAATTACTGAGTTTGCAAATGTCAAGATTACAGTCCTTATACTGTACACGTATTTAAGTATATCCACCATTATTATGGAGACGAGAATGTAAATGATAACTAGATATTGTTCCTCATTGGGATTAACATAAAAAAAGTTCTGTTACACTGACCATACTACAAAATTGTATATGCAATGAAAATAAACATAAGTTGTAGTTCATCATATACTGCTGACGATATATTGCAGTTTTCGGGACAACTTCGTGAAGCTGGACGTGTACTTTGAAGATCTGAACTATGAACATATCGAGGAGGTCCCTTCGTATGACGTAAGTGTTAAATAACAGCCAATTCTTTAACATTTAATATCAAATTTTATTTTATTTCTTGTGCATTTCTTTCGGCGAGGAAAATCACATTTGTTTTGGTCCGATCTTGAACTCTTCGTTACCTATACGCAAGTTCTACTACTCGAGCCTGCATACAACGAAGTAACGTTAGTTTCACAAAGTGTATTCACACACAAAATAGAAGAAAAATAGGCACCATATCAGGTAATACGTAACCTGATATAAGTGTTCCATGTTATTGAAACAAATATTGGAAAGTCTGAGACATTCCTAACGTGTTCTTCATATTTCAATGGATAAACAAAATCTATACACGGATTTCCTTTCAAAACTTCATTTAAATAATTTGTACAAGAACTTGCTGCTTTCGAAATAAATGCCTTAGCCATTTGTTTTGTTTTAGGAATATCAGTTTCTATCAGATATTGGAGGAGCCACAGGCCTGTTTGTTGGAGCATCGGTCCTGAGCCTTGTTGAGGTGGTCCAGATTCTTGTGGAATCCATTAGGTTCGCTGTGAGCAGACTTCGGAAATAGAAGTATAGATTTTATTTGGATTGGAAAACAGGTTATTTGACCCCGTACGTGGGTATGTGTGTACAGGTGACCTCGACAACTACGTCTGTAAATTAGCCAAGAGATCCAGTACCTGGTCTTTTAGACGGCTTAATGTGGTTGGTACATTTTGCCACGTGGCTAAGTTGCAGAACGTCATAAGTAGAAAGGGTAAACACGACGTGTCATACAATAATGATGTAAACAACTGTTTCAGCAATTTCAAATCTTGTGATTCATATGGTCCTTGTAATGCAAATCATTTATCTAAGCTGAAACAAACTTTTATGTGAATTTATAGATTGTTTTTTTACAATTTTGTGTTTGTATTGGGATTTGCGAAGTGAATTTCGATCCTGCAAACAGAACATGTTTTTATATGTGGCCATGTGGCCAATGCACAATACAATATGGAAAAGGATCATATGGACTAAAAATGTCTCATAAACTTGTGTTCCGCTTCACTATATATTCCACGTCCGCGAATCATGGATATATACCCCACCGCAGAAGGGTCTAGCACCGATGTGCTGAGAACGGTCTAGCACCGATGTGCTGTAATGCAGGCCTCCGGCTCCGCAGATGACCTGAGGACTACTGCCCTTGTAGAACTGATCCAATGTGTGTAGCGCCAGTTGTCTGCCCTTGTGGAACTGACCCAATGTGTGTAGCCAGTTGTCTCGTCCACAATCCTCACCTACCAACCCGTTCATGGAAATCTATAAATAATGAACATACATACTAACACTATTGCCAATACTCCCAATATAGTAAAACCTAGTTAAAGTATCACTGTAAATATTACATGTAAATATACATTGACTCACTACATATCAATTTATGGACGTTAGTACCAAGCATGTGCATGTATTTGATTAACACTTATAATGCGGACTAATTATAATATATCCAACTAGATAAGTTATTGTAAGGACTACTAACAACAATCATATCGGATATCAACACTAATGGATAGATACCGTAATCTTACAGAAAATGCCTCACGCTTACCTGTACAATCACTATTGCGTAACGCCTACGTACGTGCATTAAAGTATTTAACTTAACATTTCTATCTCTTATACAAGTATAGCCTATGAATACTAAATCATAGATATATACATATTCATAATAATGATAATTAGTTAATATAGTAGGGTACTAACAGGCATATGACTATATACAATACATGTAAACAATGTTCCGCATGAACACATTAACATTTATTGCGATCATTCACCAGTAACTGATGCAACATATACAGCATATATTTAGCAACCAAATCACTATAATATGATTTACCACATCTCAGGTGTAGATGCGTCTGAATTCCGGATGGTTTTATGGCAAGATGACATACACGTCCATCTTAGTCAGATTGGCTCTCGTGTAGTACTTTTACCACTCTCGAACGCTCTCGCAAACGCATACTAACCTCGAAGCGGGAATATTCAAAAACCGAGATTCATACAAATAAGTGATAAAACAATAAACATAATCAATACCCACATAAATATATATATACAACATTTCTCTACCAATATGCGATCGTGACATTTGGTTTATATGGTTTAACAACTTATTTACGATTAAGGTCATTTGAACTTTGGTTTAGTTTCGTTTTAGAGGAGTTAACGTCGTAATTCCCGCTAAGGTCATTACCGTAGCCATATGTGTTATGTAGACATATATAAATGTGTGTGTTTGTGTACTGTAAGCGGTATATTTGTTTTATTGATTAAGTGTACATTACATAGTTTTTTTATGAATCATTTTGTGCATAATTAATCTTGCAAATCATACGCGTCCAGATTAATTTCCATAGAAAACCGCAAGGGATGTTCAGTAGTTTAGTTTTTCTTCACACAGTAGATATAGTGTATGCCTTAGTGTCCCTCAAGGTTATATGTTGATAACGTTACAGAAGCAGATCAATAATGATGCATACTAGCTGAGTAACACGCTTATTACCGTCAAACAGCAAACGTCCTACCAGCCTCGTCCCATAATATCTGTTGACCTATAAAGGGAAAAGCAAATTGCTGGTGATGGATCATATTTGTTCAAGTCACTGCATTATATTTGTTCAAGTCACTGAATTATCAACGCGCTATAAGGATAAACTTGATAATTTACTTACGAGAATAGGCAAATCGATATCAATCATTACAAGTCGCATGCATAAAGATAGACGCAGAATAATGTATCGCCTATTAGGAATCCCCGTACTACTGCCAAAAACTAGTGAAGTGTTATTCCAGCAAAATTATAGCTTTGATCAATCATTTCTGAAAAGAAAGCCATAACTTACACGACGTTTACGATAAAAATAAATAACAAAGAGGATATAAACATATAATCAACAGTCGTGTTTTGAGTACACAATTCATTGGGCAAGTCCAGGATTCGAACCCCAGACGAGCTCAGTATGTTGTACTCTCACTCTAACTGATTAAGCTACCCGGTCATTAGAAGCGCGATGCCCCAACTGTTGTACAGTTATATTCATTCTGAAATTAAGCGGGTGTGACTGTATATAGATTCTTCATTAAACTGGTTTGAAAACAACTTGCATAACGTGTTGTGTAATCAATGATTGAAATCATGTCAGAATTGTTAATGTTTACAAAACCGATACCTGGGATACCAGCATAGTAAAATTCTATCGAATCTAATTTCTTTTTGCGAAAAAATGACAAACTCTATGTTTGCTATGCAAGTATTTGTGTTTTCACAACAAGATAGAATGTAAAATGTTTATCAGCAATATCACACTACTCTTATCTTGAATTTTAGAACTAAACCTCTGTAGAGTACAAAGGCAAATTTACAAATACAAAAAGCGTACGAGGTACTGGGCATCTCACATTGTGCTGCTTTCATCTTAATTGTTACAAAACGCATTGGACACATTGGTGATGACCGGGCGGACTGCTGTGCTGGGTGCCTACGGCATGGTATTTCAGTGAGATAGCACTATAAAGTCGGCATCAGATCAGCGCTATCACAATGAGGCAAGCTCAACCACATACCCTGTTCCTGCATACACTCACGCAAGCACGCAAACACTACACACATGAATGCACGTCCTTATGAGTACTAAGGTTGCGCCTACTTATACTACACTAGTATAAGGATATTACAGAAAAAAACTTGATGAGAAAATGGCAATCAGTAAGGATGTTGATTTTTCTTCATTTTTAAAAACTATTTTGTTTTAGATTTTTGGAGGATTGTTTTATAATTTGGCCCCATAATCATGATATGGTGAGTTTCACTCGGAGTTAAATTCTTTACATCCGGATTTGAAATTCACTATTGAAAGTAGCGATAACGCTTTGCCATATTTAGATGTTTTAGTTAAAGTTGAAAACAATAACATTTCTACAGGCATTTATGCAAAACCTACTGATTCTCATTATTACTTATATTTTTTCTCTAGGCATGCTAAAATCAACATATTACATAATTTAGCTGCTAGATTAATTACTATAGTAAGTGATTCTGATATATTGGAACACATGCTACACATAGCCACCCGAGACCAAACTCGTGATGACTGTAGTTTTGCGATCGTGAACGTTTTATTTTCTCAGTATTAACATACTAGCCTCTCCTACACATATCCCAGAGCCTGTTATCGGGATTTTCTTGCGAGATGCTCACTGTTGACGAATGAGTTGTGTACATAAGCAGAGGTGTGTACTTACGAGATTGCAATCAATCAATTGCAAGTGTTAAGCTTGATAGGACAAAGCTAGCACCAATACGCTGTTGAATTAATAAAGGTTCACAGAAATTAGCGATTAGAACACCAGACATGTTAGAAACAGATGAACAGTCAGTCGTTGCACAGTGCTATGCTCTGACAGGTTTTTCCATTTACTCCACGACACATGATTCACTGCAATGGTTCCTGGAGCCAGTATATAAAACATATCTGTACAGTAAGCTGGTTGTAATATTTGTATTTGCATAGATAACTCATGTTACAACTGTGGCAATAAGGTGTGAGTTGTGGGAAAATACAGCCTTGCTTGCTCCATAAAGACATGCTAGAAGGCACTATTTTTATATTAGTTGGATATTTATTCAAGACAGAACTAGCTATATTAAAGTACAAGTTTTAAAAGACATATCAATTGGTTTATGTTTGATCAGTATCATTATTTACAACTTTTTTCATACACATAGTTAACAAAATCTGACCATTATCAACGACTATCAAAAGACAACCGAGACGTTTATGAATTTTAACAAAACCTTTAAGGAAATAACAAATAAGATTGAGCTGTCTCAGTATACGTATTACTAAATATTAATAATGGTTCTGTTTTACTACGGTTAAATCTAAATTAGTCCTTAACATTAAAGCATGCAACATAAATTGCCTAACAGAACTGCTTTATTA